TACAGAATTTGAGGCAGAAATATGATACCTTCACACTTCATCACAGGTGTTTGCAGTTTTTAACCTTAGGTAGAAGAGGGTATGAAAAGTTTAGAATTGTAAATGATTACTGTAAATAGTTATAATAATTTCAATTTTACTAAAATAAATATATAAAAAACAGGAGGATTGGGATCAGTTGAAATAAGAACAGTTAGTTCTGAGATAGAATTTATGGAGAGAAGACTTATACCAGGATACATACAATGACCAACCTCTGAAGTAATTGAAGAATTTGCAATGAATAATATACCTTGCCCACTATAAACAAGAATTTCTTGCCTACACAGATTTTCACAATTACTTTTGTTTAAAAGACCTCTATGTGAATGTTCTAGTGCAGGGCTGTCAAACTCCCGGCCCGTGCGCTGGATGCATCATGTGCTGCCCATGCCCAAACCTGGTTTAGCAAAGGAAGAAAAAGTCCTGATACATCACGTGATACCGCCATGACAGCGTGAGTTTGACACCCCTGTTCTAATGCATACTCAGAAGATCACTTATTTATTTAATACATTAGTAGATTTATATTTACTTTGCGTTCACGAGCTGAAGGCAGTATGCACAGTGCTTGTTCTCCTATTCTTCCCCATAACAACATTTTTGTGCATAGGTTGGACTGAGATGACTGATCTTCCTTCCTTCCTTCCTTCCTTCCTTCCTTCCTTCCTTCCTTCCTTCCTTCCCTCCCTCCCTCCCTCCCTCCCTCCCTCCATCTTTCTTTCTTTCTTTCTTTCTTTCTTTCTTTCTTTCTTTCTTTCTTTCTCTTTCTTTCTTTCCACCATGTTTTTATAAAATCAGTAATCCAATGTATTATCTTTCACTGTTATAAAAGCAGCATAACAATGAGAGAATAAATATACTGAAAAGAGGAGAAATGCTATAGTTTAATTAGCAATAACATAATTAACATTCTGCATGTATAACCAGGAACCAGATCATGCTATAGTTGGACTTATCAGAGCAATGTTTGTCTTTTATTATTATAGAAGTGCCCAGCCCCATTTTAATGCTTCCTTTAATCTATATATCTAAATGCTATACTTTTTTCAACATGTGTAGATTTATGTGTGAATATAGGCACATACAATATATACTACTGTATGTACAGACACGTGCCTGTATAAATAAACGAGAACCAAGTTTAATGTAGTATTTTGGGTACTGAACTAGAGGTGGAGAGACCAAGTTGTAGGCAAATCTCATTCATGGAAGCTCATGAATGATTTAGGGATAGTCATTATCTCAGTTCAATCTATTTTACAGTTCAATCTATCTTTTTTTTTAAAAAAATATTTTTTTTCTTTAAAAACAAAAACAAATGAAAAATTTCCATTTTACAACAGTTCTGTATCGGTGTATATCCATGGTTTATGTTTCCCCTCCCCCCTACATATTCACATATTTATTTTTGTGGTTCCCTCATTCCTCATATATTATATATATTACTCCTTACTTATTATACACACTATTATATCCATATGTTACTTTACATATATTATATATTTAATATCATTTTGTTGATGCTTCCTGATTTCTAAATCATCTCTGTTATGTGTTTTCTTGTTTGTTATTCCTGTCCTCTAACCATTTGTACCATTTTCCTCATATTAAGCAATATTCCATTTCATCTTTTCCTTTTATTTCTTTTCTCAATTTATCCATCTCCGCACAGTCCAAAATTTTCCTTATCACCTCTTCATCTTTTGGTATGACATTATTTTTCCAATTTTGTACATAGGTTATCCTAGCTGCAGTTATAATATGTAGAATGAGATATTCAGTTCAATCTATTTTACAGAGGCAGCAGGATATATGCTACTTGAGTTGTTGAATGAGAAGTGTGATATAAATTTAATAAAGCTGGAAGCATGGAAGCTGGAAAAGGAACATATATCTCATTCCGGTGTTTTGTCTTAGAGTATAATCAATTCTTCCCTTTAGAAAAATCTAACTTTTTATTCAACACATTAACACAATATCTTTTTTCTAAAAATTAGAACATTATTTTTTTTTCTATTTTACTTAATATAACAATTATCATTATATACTTTTCTTGCCTATTTTTTTTTCTTGAGATGTCGCTGGTTTGCCTGTTTCCATTCCAACCCACCCACCTACCTCCAAGCTGTAAAAACTAATTGCGGTTGAAATGAAGCTGCTGCTCACCAGTCTGTCTTTATTGGCATGCTTGAAATTCTGTACTGAATTGAGTTGAGTTGAGTTGAATTGAAACAACCGCTAATAACTGATAATAACTAATAAAAATTAGTCCCAGCTAATAACATGAAGTGTTACTGCACATATGTGCATACAGTACATTCTCATTGGGCTATTCCTTTTTGAAGTAAGCAATATCATACAAAGAATAGAAGGCATGACACACAAAAAAGAAAAGGAAATATAGCTAAATCTAGTTTACACCTGCACTACACATTTTAACTTTGCAAAGAATTCTTGTTTGCCCAATGGCCATACAGTCCTTCGTACACCGCAATTTGGTTTTTTAAAAACTATTCACTCCTTTCTTTCAGGTCTCCAGAACTTTCATCAACTCCACGCAACCGTAACTTCCTCGGTCTTCCCCTTCCATTCAATCCATTTATTCTTCCTTATATTTGTTTTGTGGTTTGATACTTATTTTATTTACGTGACCAAACTTCTGAAACATACTATCTTCCTACTGCTCACTCATGCCTGAATTCAATTCACATTCCTTAAGTACCCATTCATTCTTATACCTATTTTTTCCTGTATTCTTACAGATACTTTTTAGGTAAACCATTCCCACTGCATTGAAATTATGCTTATATTTCTTCCAACATACAGTATACAATTCTACTTCCACGTAACTACATGAACAGAAGTGTGTTCTTCTGTAAATAATGTAAATAGCATCATGCACACAGTAGAGATGGATCATAACTACTGTATGTATGGTGGTTCAATGATGTTTTTTTTTTAATGTAATGAAAGCCTTAATTTGACCATTGAAGTTTTTATTAAACATCAAAATAATAACATAATATAACAATTACAATATTTTCAGAGAACATTTGTTTTGGTTCCCTTCTGGAGAATTTGGGCTGTTCAATTACAGGCCTCATTGCTTCTATACTGTATTCAACTGAAATGTCAGAATCTAATAAACAAATCTAATGTTTACTGCTGCTCATTGGGCTGTTTATCTTTAGTGATAGAAATCTCTATTATACTTCAGGTGCACTGAATACTTTGTCTATTCTTCTTTTTGGAAACAGGTTCTGCTCCATGATACATTCCTACAGATAGCAAACAAAGCAGATAGTTAATGAGAAAAAAGGAAGTTTTAAAGAAAGACTCATAAGACACAACAGCTTGAGTCAAATGAAGCAATCATTTCAGCATCACTCATAGAAATTGATTTGATCTGGTTAGACTGCTATATCCAGAGAGACAGATACCTTTTATTCTTCTAAGACTGCAAGAATGCATATTTCATGGAATGCACGGTTGAACTGCTTAACGTAGCATAGTAGAACAAAATAAAATAACAGTGTGTGGCATTTTCTGGATTCTGTTTTCCAGAATCCATTTCCATTTTCTTTGCAATGAAAGATACATAAAATGTTAATCGTAGACTTTTCTCCAGCTTCTTCGACCCTGTGCTTAAACAAGTGGCAGATACACTTGGCTGGAAATTCATATTCAGATCATGCAGCCTAACCTGTCAATCACCCTGGGCACTTAAAGAGGTAAAAAGAGATAAAGCAGGATTGTGATCTGAAAGATTAACCCTTAATCTTCATGAGATGAAACTCTGATAGGGAAAAAGAAAGAGACAGAGAAGCTAGATATATATTTTTAAAAGTGCATGTTACTTGCCTTCGTACAACTGATTTCAACCTAAATAGTCTCTTCAATTGAATTTTGGGTCACACAAGCAAGAAGAAATAGACAAATGTTTATTTTCCAAGTGTTGCATCTAGGGCCAGTCAAGGTGGGCAAAAGGATACTTATCCACTATCTTGTGAATATCTCAGGAGAATTTTGTGCCTGATTCAAAGTATCAATTGATTTTCAAAATCAGATTTTTCCCTCTATCTGAAGGAGGGGGGGAATCATCATGTTTCTTTTAACTAGCATCCTTAAAGAGCCTTGGTACTACAGTGGTTTAAAGCACCCTGTTATTAACACAGCTGCCTGCAATTTACTGCTGGTTCGAATCTCTCCAAGGCTCAAGGTTGACTCAGCCTTCCATCCTTTCTAAGGTAGGTTAAATGAGGACCCAGTTTGTGGGGGCAATAAGCTGACTTTGTATAAATATACAAAAGTATGAAGGCTATTGCTTAACACATTGTAAGCCGCCCTGAGTCTCCGGAGAAAGGCGGCATATAAATCAAATTAAAAATAATAATAATAAAAAATAAGTACTGATAGAATTGTGAATAAATACACAATTCATAAAAAAAAAAATCAACAAACATTGCAAGTGGGGAACACTGGAGTCCTCTATTTATACTATTGTCCAGATTGATGGCCATTATATTGCTATGTCACAACATCCTTTTTGTTTTCCTACCAATCTACATAATTGGTACAGTATTTATCACTGTATCCAGGCTTCCTACTGCAATTTATTTACATGCATATGAATTACCATGACTGCATAATGCTTTCATCAACATACTCACTTAAACTGCTTATAACAAGGGAGTTGTTATCTCTACGTAATTTATCAAGCAATCATTGGAACAATAGTAAACAGGTGCAGGGATCAAACATGTGGTACATTCTCTTGTCTCCCAAGTAAACTAGAAGGTTGCTAATGAAGTGGCTGAGGATAATGATTTGGTTGAAGTGGTTGAAATGACCTTTACGTCTTTGAAAAAAGAACTTTGGGATCTTTGTAGTTATTCTTGAAATGCCTGGCATTTGTCAATTTCTTGTATGCTCAAGAAGGACTTTTTCTTGTCCCACAGAAAAAACTGTCATCGTTAACCCTCCTTGTGACATTGATGTTATCGTTGGAGAAAGTGTAGTTCTGCCTTGTCAAGTATCCAAAGACCCATCCATTGAGGTTGTTTTCTCATGGTCATTCAATGGAGATCTTATCGATTTTAAAAGAAGAATGACCCATTTTGAAAGAGCTGGAGGTGTAAGTTTCTTTTCATTGTTGTTTGCGTGCACATACTTTTGCTTTTGTATACCCATTTTAAAAAAATCTCATTTTGAAATCACATGATGATTAGTTTTTAATTTTTTTTTCTGTAGTAAACTACATACAGGGACATTTTTTTTATGTACGCTTGTATAATGTATGTATGTGTGTAACAGATGTATCATAGAAAGCTATCATCTGTGCAGTCAGCATCTAGTATTATGTTTTGCACTGCATAATTATTTGAAACTATTATCTGGCCTAAATTATAATAACAGAGTATTTCTAAAATTGTTAAGCTTTCTCTCTGTTTTGGATGCTTTAAGAAACTGAGCACTTAGAAAAGCACTTATTTTTTTCCATGACAAAGGCAAGGCATGACGATAGTAAACATAGTCTACTTCCCCCCCCACCCACACCCACACTCTTTGATTTTCCTGCTGGAAATGAGATCTGCCTCCATCCTTTTGCCCTTCCCGAAAGGCCTTAAAACCTGATTCTGCTAGCTGGTCTGGAGCCCCAATGGTTCTATGCTAGGGGTAGCTGATGAGGTAAAGAGAAGATCCCCACCCGTGTTTTGCCCATCCTCTTGGGTTTTAGTCTCTTTTTTAGTATCTCTTAATTTTAATAAGGAGTGTGGTGGCTCAGTGGCTAAGATGCTGAGCTTGTCGATCAGAAGGTCGGCAGTTCAGCAGTTCAAATCCCTAGCGCCACGTAATGGGGTGAGCTCTCATTACTTCTTCCAGCTTCTGCCAACCTAGCAGTTCGAAAGCACGTAAAAAATGCAAGTAGAAAAATAGGGACAACCTTTGGTGGGAAGGTAACAGAGCTCCGTGCGCCTTCGGCATTTAGTTATGCTGGTCACATCACCATGGAGACGTCTTGGGACAGTGCTGGCTCTTTGGCTTAGAAATGGAGATGAGCACCACCCCCTAGAGTTGGGAATGACTAGCACATATGTGCAGGGGAACCTTTACCTTTTAATTTTAATAATTTTGCATTAACTTTTTATCATTATGTAAGCCACCCAGAATCACTTCATGTAATAAAATGTAATAAAAAAGTAAATAAATGGAAGAAGTTGAAAACTCGCAAAGATTCAAAGAGATCTGTTATGACTTCTTTTAAAGAAGACATTGCCTACAAACGTAGAGCTGAGACCTTATTTGTTAAAAATAGTTGCACATTTCTACTGGTATTATAGTTCTAGAAATTTCTAGCAGAGAGGCTGTGAGTGACTGCAGTAATCAATGAAATACTCAATCTAAGCAACACAGTTTTCTTTTCTACAATTAAAGAGGAGCTAACTCAATCCCACCATTAGGAATGGAGCACTTTCTTCTAAAAATGCTTGATAAAATCTTATTAAACTAGATGTGTGCTGGTAAGACAGCAAAATATACTTCATGGGCATGTTTCTTCTAAGTCATAAGTTTTAGTTTGGAGTCTGTTTCCAAAATCTACTCAATGGAAGCTTTATTGCTTTACGTAGCCACATCCATTTAGTTTTTGCTTTCATTTTTGGCATTATTTGTGGGAATTGTAATAAAAATGTCTGAATGAAAAAAAAAAGATGACACTATTGTATAATTCAATTTAAAAACTGCATCTTTATTAATATTTAGCACGTTATAAAAATATGCATGATGGGAAATGCATCGTGTGTGATTAATTGTTTGTGTTCTTTTTATTTAAGGATTCTGTAGGGGATCTTATGATAAGAAATATTCAGCTAAATCATGCTGGAAAATACATGTGCACTGTGCAAACATTGATGGACACTCTATCAGCATCAGCAGAAATAATTGTAAGAGGTAAGTCTATAAACTCTAAAAATTAAGCTAATTATATAGAAGTGCTTAATACCCTTAAATTTTAGAGAAGCTGATTAAATTAAATATGCATAACTAATGATCTGTAGCTCAGATATATGTCCAACTGTTATATATTCCCTTGAAATTAAAATTTGCTCTATAGGCAATTGACTGTTTTATATTGAAAATGTATGTTGCTCTAAAGGCTGACCTATAAATATTAAAGCCAATAATTATTTAATCTTGAATCGTATAAAGGCTGCAATGGAAAGGGAAACTGGAATTTTATTTGGCTTAGATATAATTGTTTAGATATGATTGGGAAAGAAAGCCACTCCCAGGAGTACCAGTGAAGAAACAGGTATGAACATTGGTAGTGGCTGCATGGCAGATGGAATCTTGAACACTTAATTTGTCATGTTCCTACTGTAGGTTCAAATTACTTCACATATCCTGTAGACAGCAATTATAAGATAGGGAGCTACAGGATGCCATGTATTCTAGGACATATGATAATAGTTGGTTCATTCCGTATTAACTGGAAGTAGCAGAATGACTAGGAATGGAGATTTGGATTTTAGTGCTTATTTCATTTACAAAACCCATTGTTCACTGGGGAATTCTGAAATCCATACAGCTTAAAGTTGACAAGGCCATGAAACACTGATATAATATGCTACTTTCATTCCCAAGACCATTGAAGGGATTTTATGGCTAAAAACAGAAGGGAATAATTTTGTGTGGTTGCCTAAGAAGTGGAGAGAAAAGTCCATTATGTAGCTTAGGCTGCATTATTTTGAGAGGGATGGGAAATTGCTAGCAAAGGAGACGGCTGAACTGCATCTCCCAGTCAGCATGACTTCTTTTTCAGATATGCCAAGTATTGTTTTTCCTCAGTATCAGGAAGGTTCTAAGCCTGGATCGAAAAGAATCTTTCCAAATCAAATCTATTTTATGTAGGTACTTATGTGAGATATTTTAGCCTTTAGGGTACACACTACTTGGTTGAAGGGAATTTCCCATGTTTATTTCGAACAATCCCCTTTAATCAGGTGCATTAGTACCAAGTTCACCAGTAAACCCTAAACCGCAAAGAACTTCAAACAATTCTGCTAAAAATAATATGGATGTCAAGGCTCCGACTAATGAACCCAAGCAAATCAGAACTCTGAGACTAGGACCCTTCTCAAATGTCTTCTTTATTGAGTACATCATATCGGCACAGCTTCAGAGGAAAACCAATTCTAAATCTTTCCCACTGTTTCAGTGTAATTAAACTAGGAAATAACCCCATCCCCAAGTATCATAGGTCACACTGGCCAATTGGGTTAATTGGTGGGCTCTCCAGGCACTCCTTCCCCGACCTTATTCATTGCCAATAGAGATGACCTTGATTTTCACGAGAAAGCTCTCTGTTGTGTCTAGTAAGGCATTCTAATCTCCTTCCCCCTCTGTGTGGCAACTGAGGAACAGAAAAATGGCTGCTACCAGGTTTGGTTCAAAGTTGACAATGAATCTTTTGTTTTAACAAGGCATTCCTGGCCCACCAAAAGAGGTTACTATTGAATACGTATCTAGTACAACTGCAGTGCTGAATTGGAAATCAGGAGCAGAAAACAACAGTCCTGTCCATACCTACACAGTTCAGACAAGGACCCCTTTTTCAGTTGGATGGCAAGCTGTTTTAACAGGTACACATTTCTGAATTACATTCATGCTGTTTTTAAAAATTGTCTCTCTCTAACCCTTTTATTTTTGTTTTGTTTTTCTTAAGTTCCTGAAGTCATTAATGGAAAGACCCGCACAGCTACAGTGGTTGATCTAAATCCCTGGGTTGAATATGAGTTTCGAGTTGTAGCTGCCAACAATATTGGAATTGGGGAACCAAGTACACCATCGGAGCTACTAAGAACTAAAGCATCTAGTAAGCTACTTAAAATATTAGTGACAGGTTTAAGAGCTCTTAAAATACAGTTTCACTCATCATAATATTACATCATAATGGTTTACCTTTCAGTAACCTTCAAAGCACAATAAAGGATTTAGAGGGTTATTTGTCTTTAATTATTTATATTTCTCTGTTCCCCTTTTCAGCTAAATATTGGCATCTAGACTATTTCACATTAATTTAAGGCTAATAATTGCAGTATGAAACCTTCCGTAATGGAAGACAAAATTCAGGACAGTGGAGAGGCTGTCCATGATGTCACAATGTTCTCCTTCTCTTTTGATCCCTTACTACATATTGGAGGGGGGGTGATGAAGACACTATCTGTCTTCAATAAAACATTTTTTTAAAGGCCTATTTCAGGGGTGAAATCCAGCAGGTGCTGACAGGTTCTGGAGAACCAGTAGCGGAAATTTTGAGCAGTTCAGAGAACCGGCAAATACCACCTCTGGCTGGCCCCAGAGTGAAGTGGGAATGGAGATTTTGTAGTATCCTTCCTCTGCCACACCCACCAAGTTACACCACGCCCAGCAAGCCACACCCACAGAACAGGTAGTAAAAAAAATTGAATTTCACCACTGGCCTATTTACCTGGATTTACGCCGTACTGAACTCCCTTAAACTTACTTTTGAATAGATATATAGAAGGGTAGGGTAGGGTAGGGTAGGGTAGGGTAGGGAAGGGAAAGGAAAGGAAAGGAAAGGAAAGGAAAGGAAAGGAAAGGAAAGGGGAAAGGAAGGAAAGGAAAGGAAAGGAAAGGAAAGGAAAGGAAAGGAAAGGAAAGGAAAGGAAAGGAAAGGAAAGGAAAGGAAATTTTATTACATATTAATTAGCATATTTATACTATTATATATACAATTTATAGTATTAGCATCATTACCTAACACTAACTTGCAGGCAACTATCTGAATGCAAACAGTGCTATGCATTCCCTAATGTATTTTCACATATACATTTGTGTGTGTGTATGTCAACACTTTTTTTTCACTTGCAAATCCATAAATATTTGCAGGCTCCAGCTGCTTTCATTCAAACAGCAAAGGCAGCATGATGCAATCATGCCACAAGCTCTGTGCTTTTAGGATATATAGCAATGCACACACAAAAGCTTGATTCTAATGGCTTGATTCTAATGGCTAAGGCTTGATTCTAATGGCTGTTTGTAGCTGCTTTCATCAGACTAACTGGTTTAATGGCCCCAGTGGATGCTGCTATGTAGATACATTGATTAAAAAAAAAAACTGGTATCACAGTTCAAAGCAAAATGCATATATTCATTCCAGTTCTTTTAATTTTTTCCAGATTAACAGCAAAAGCTACATCATTTTCTTTTTCTAATTTTATATCAGAATATATAAACACACACATGCAAGCATGGATATGTATATGTACCACTGGAGTTGGCTACTAGATTGATAGCAAACCCACTTTCCCCCTCACTCCCTCATTCCACCCGCACCCCACAATATTCTTCATGACACCACCCATGGATCTATTTAAGCAACATGCCATATTCTTCAGAAATGTGAAATACTTAAAAGTTGACTGACCAATGTGTTAATCAATTCAAGCAAATATTCCAATGATATGACCAATTCAGGAAAATGTTCAACCCTTACGCCTGCTGTTGGGAAGAGCTAGTGCCCCAGTCTTTGATTGCTTCTACTGCTTGATGCAGTGCTGGTCTCTAATAAAGCATGCCTTGACTTAATAAGGAATAGGGGGAGGAGACTTGATATGCAATACTGAAACTTGCTTGGTAATGGAATGTGTCCATTTGGATTTGAGTGCGGCACCAGCTGCAACTCCTGAACAAGTGGCAATTATCACTTAAGAAACTGATAAACCTGCTTTTCATTCCACTGTACTCCAGAAACTCCTCCCATTCCCTGTCACCCAGCACTGGTCTTTGGAAAATATTTGATGCTCCAGAGCTCACACTATAGAAAGAAGGCAACCCATTCTACGCCTCGGCATCCTTAGGCTGCGTGAGACCTAAGAGGATGCTATTTTTGGAGTGTTGTCACTTTGAACATTCATTCATTCATTCATTCATTCATTCATTCATTCATTCATCCATCCATCCATCCATCCATCCATTCATTCATTCATTCATTCATATTTAAGAAAATGCGTATGACCACCTATTCACTGTCAGTGACTCTGGATGGCTTGCAAAACTATGGTGCCAGCTTCTGGTATGAAGCCCTACAACGTATGGATGCCACTTCTCCTGTCCACCTGTAGGGAAGCTGAGTTTAGAGCTCTGGAGCTCATATTAGGGAAAGAGGACAGGTCATTCCTCAACATCCTTAGGCCATGATGTGGCTCTATCCCAGAAGCAGGCAGCATTTTTGGAGTGGCTGCAATGAGAGGCCAAGAGGTGGAGCAACCTCCCCTCTTTTCACCAATATCAGCTCTGGAGCTCCCCAGATCTTCCAAAAGTGAGTATGCATATGGTGACTAGACTTGGGCTTGGGAGAAGAGGATATAGGGCCTGGTGGTGTGGAAAGCAAAGCTTGTGAAGACTCCAAGGGGTGGGAACTGGAGCACAGATTGCTCAGGAGGCCTTAGGGAGGTGGACATGGGTCTGCACTAGGTCTTTCAGGTCTTCCCATGAGTTCCATGTGGTCTGCTTAACAACTTGTATAATCACATAATGACTGCATTGGAGAGAACAGAGGTGAGCAAGACAATCACATGGTTGCCTTGCTTAACAACACTCACCACTTTTGGCCATAATGGGCAGGCTCCATTACAGTGCTGAATCAAGGATAACCTGTATGAAAGATAATGAAATAGAGTAGCACCTTTCATTTACTGTGCAGTACTTGAGATTTGGATTAATCCTACCCACTTTAGCAATATAAACTGTTCCAAAAACAATATGGAATCAATTGTGTTTTGTAGCTCTTTACTAGATGGTGACATTGCTAATTAATGTCATCTTCAGAGAAACAGGTGCAACAAATGGTAATAAAAGGGGAAATGGAGTGTCCATTTGAAACCTGATCACAAATTGATACTTTTTCTACAAGCAAATGAGCTATTACCCATTTTATTAAAATGGAAGAAAGAATTAATTGTGCAGTTATCTGAAAATTTTCATCTTATTCTCAGCTATGACCAGTTGAAGCTTTGTTGAGCAGTGGTATTAATTTCTTTCCTATGCAAATACAGTAAATACAAGCCTAAATGAGCATGAACTAATTCATTGGACAGTTGGATGTTAGCTATGCTTGGCTTAAAAAGTCTCATTTTAATCCTTCATTTTAGTTAATCATCCCATTGACTTTTCCTATGTTGGGTAACTCCTAAGCAATTCACTCAAAATTTGATGACCCATTTCCATCCAAAAATAAGATATAAACTTAGTTTTATGAATACAGTCTACCCCGCAGGAAAAGAAATCACAAATTTGTCAAAAATGAAAAGGTTATGTTTCTTGGCTATCCTGTAGATCAGAAGTGTCAAACTCAATTTCATTGATGGCTGCATCAGGGTTGTGTTTGACCTCAGAAGGCTGGGGTGGGTGTGGCCAGGGTGGGCATGGCCAGCTCAACATCACTCATGTTGCAGGTGCCTGTTGTGACCTGAGCACTCTGCTAGCAAAAATGGACTCCCGAGCTCCATATTTGGCTGTGACGGCCTCCTGCAACTCTCTGCCAGCAAAAACAGAGCTTGGGGGGGGGTGGGGGAGGCCTGCCTGCGGTCCTAGCATGCTCTGTTTTCAGCTGTGATGGCCTCCTGCAACTCTCTGCCAGTGAAAATGGAGCTTGGGCAGGCTGCCTGCGGCCCTCGCATGTTCTGTTTTTGGCTGCAATGGCCTCCTGCAACCCTCTGCCAGTGAAAACAGAACTCAGGCAGCCCTCCATTCATTTAGCAACTGTTTGAAATTTACAACAGCAGCAAAAAAAGTGTCTTACAACCAGTCCTCATATTTGCGACCATTGTAGGATCCCCAATGTCGCAGGATCAAAATTCAGGCACTTAGCCACTGTCATCTTGCAGCATCATTTGATCACCATTTGCAATCTTCCCAGCTGGCTTCTGACAAGCAAAGTCAACATGGAAAGCCAAATTGGCTTGGTTCACTTAATTGCAACAATTCACTTAACAACCATAGCAAAAAATGATAATGAAATTGTAAACACTCATTTAATAATCTCCTTACCTAGCAATGGAATTTCTGGTCCCAATTGTCATAAATCGAGAAATACCTATATAGGATTGCAGACTATACAGAAGTCACTTATGAATGTCTATTGCTTCAGATTGATTTCAGAGAGATGATCTATGACAGAGAAATTAGTTATATCACAGTGACAGCTGGCTGTATTTTCTAGGAACAGCTATCCCAATATGTTTCAAAACCAAGCTGCAAATCTCCATGGAGCTAGGCTATCAGCATAATCCCCTTCTCAGTCTCAATGGACAATTTCTCCATGTTATTTGTAGATACAGTCATGGTTACTTCAAATAACAACATATTGGGCCCAGAAAGTATTCCGTATTTTATTATTCTTTTCCCATAGCTAGCTATGGTGATGTGACTATGTGACTTTGAATTTCAAATTATCTTCTTTACACAGAGCCATGCATGCATATGGCAGATTTTATACATATATATAAATGTCTGTTGTGTATGTGTGTTTTTCTCTCTGTTAGTTCCCACAGTGGCACCCACAAATGTGAGCGGAGGTGGAGGAAGCCGATCTGAACTTGTCATCACGTGGGAGGTAATTTGTAAATCAATCTCAGGTCTTCAAGATAATGAGTGGAACATATAAGACAGCTCTAACAAAGTCACTTTGTTGTGTTATTGTTAGCAATTTAGAGAAGTAAACTGAGAAAAATGTTGTAAAGATATTTGGAAGTCATCTCTAGCCCTCTTATCATTACTATGCAGAAGATAGCTTAACATTCCAGTCTAAGTGTTTAATGCATGAAACACTTTAGTTGCTTCTTGGTCCTTCCACCCTTGTTATTTTGGAATATAAGGCTGGTAATTTGTATCTTGTCATACATTAAAAAAAAAAAAGATAAGGCCTTTCAATATCAAGTATCATTATATGAATGCTTAGATGGCAAATAGATGATTCATGCATAAGACTTCAACCTAGGTTTATTTGCTAATAAGTTCCAATGAAATCAACATTTATTTCTAGCCATCTGTGACTTTAGAGAATTGTAAAGAAACATGCCAGCAAGGATAACCCAAGGTAACCCCAAAAAAATATTATGTATTCTGGATCTGAACTTGCTGCTCAAAGTTGATTTCTTTTGAACTGTCCCATCAGTGTCTCATTAGAGGAGCTGAAAGGCCAGGTTGGGGTTAGATCATTCTGATGAACGTCTATTTATGTTATCCCTAGAGTTAACATCAAACTGATGGCACCTAATCAATCACAATCAAATAAACATATTACAGTGCCATTGATCTTTCAATTTTGGTCTTCCTGGATGAAGCAGCTAGGAATTACATTCTAAGCAATACTTTGGGACCAACAGTTCTTTGTTCTCCTCCCCCCCCACATATAATTAAATGTGTAATTATGAGCAACAACAATTGAAATATCCACATATTATTTTCTCTTTTAGTTTAAGCTTCATTCTTTTATTTGATTTTACCCCTGGGTTAAGTATACTTCTTAGGGTAAGGATCTGATGTTTTGCAGGATGGATAACAATATAAACATAGAAATAAGAGTGAAAAATAATGTTGATTGGACAAGAACCAATACACTGAGAATGAATTTTAGTAAGAGGAAAGTACTATGGATTTTGAGCTGATGAATTTAGGAATAACCTAAGTTTTACATAAAATATTACACACACACACACACACACACACACATATATGTATGTATGTATATGTATATATATATATATATGTATATATATATAATATATATATTATATATATATATATATATATATATATATATATATATATATATATATATATATATATATACATACACATACATACATACATACATACATACATACATACATGAGCTGGAGCTACAAAAAAACCTTGGCTACGTAGGGAAAACCTGGCTAGAAGAAAAACATATATATAATATTGTATATATTCCATCCACCCACTCCCATTTTTTAAGTCTAAAACAGTGGGTCTCAACCTTCCTAATGCCGCGACCCTTTAATACAGTTCCTCATGTTGTGGTGACCCCCAACCATAAAATTATTCCTAAGACCATTGAAAATATGTGTTTTTGGATGGTCTTAGGCGACCCCTGTGAAAGGGTCATTCGACCCCCAAGGGGTCCCGACCCACAGGTTGAGAACCACTGGTCTAAAAGGAAACACAAACACAAGAAATACATTTCCCTTTACCTTCAAATGTCTAGAAATTTCCTATTTGTACTGCCACAACAATTAAAGCCCTGTGTTGTATACTTCTTTTAATAAATTTCATAAGGTCAATTTCCTCAATGCTATTATGATTATGTGCCACTCTGCTGTGGTCAATATACTAGCAACAACACAAATAGATTTTCTCTGGAGTGATAGATCACTCCAGATAGATGTGATAGACCCTGTCTGGTCCTTCACGTTTTCCAAAACTATGTCCATTGTCACTGTACTATAATTGAGTCTCTCCACCTTGCTGCTGTCATCCTTTTTCTTCTTTTTCCTTTCACTTTCCCAACATTACAGATTTCTCAGGAGAGCTAGGTCTTCATTTAAGAGCAACTTTGCAGAGGATTAACTTCCACTAAAAGCCGATTGACAGAAAGTTTTGTTTCATTACCATGCATTCTTTCTGTTCATTGTGAAGAACATTCCAGTTTAAAAACCAGTCAGACTGAATGACATACAGTCATCTAAAGAACTAGGACAAATATTTTTCCACAAATGCTACATAAAGTAGATGTGTTTATTGGCTTTGGTTACTCTGGTGTAATGTTTTTCACCCATGTCAACATTCAGATGTGTGGACTTCAACTCCCAGAATTCCACAACCAGTATACGGGATGATGGGCAATACTGAGAGTGACTGGAGAATTCTGGGAGAAGATGTCCACACATCTGAATGTTGCCAAGGATGAGAAACTCTGCTCTGGTGGATCATCTTTCAACAGGACCTGATATGGGAATATTTGTTTATTTAAAAGAATTATATACCTGCCCATCTTATACCAAACTCTTGGGTGATTCCCAAGTATGTCTCTCTACATCGACTTGTCCATTTGGCAGCATTCAACAATATGATGTTTCTCTGGGCCATATGCAAAGAATTCGCCAATCTTGTTTGCTCATCCTGGTAGGATGTTCATGGTTTCCACCTATGTAAACTAAGAAGAGTAGATCTCCAAAATAATGTTTTTTTCTGTGGTGATATCTATCTTGTGGGACAGCCTCATTTCAAGTTGGCACCCAGTGGGCATCCAGGTTGGAATTTTGCTGAAAGGCTATGAAGGCATCTTTACCATAGCACTTAATTATTGTGGACATGACTTAGTTTGGTGCTTCAGGATGTACATTGTTATATGATAGATCCATGGTGGTACATGGAATGCAGTATTGCAGGCTAATTTTGCCAAATGCCAGCAGTTTGATTCTCACCAGTTCAAGGTTGACACAGCCTTCCATCCTTCCAATCTCAGTAAAATGAGAATCCAGATTGTTGGGGGGCATATGCTCTATAACTCTATAAACTGTTTAGAGAGGGCTGTAAAGCACTTTGAAGCAATATATAAGTCAAAGTACTATTGCTATTGCTATTATAGGTTCCCTTGCACATATGTGCTAGTCGTTTCTAATTCTAGGGGGTGGTGCTCATCTCCGTTTCCAAGTCAAAGAGGCAGCACTGTCCGAAGACATCTCTGTGGTCATGTGGCTGGCATGACTCAATGCCAGAGGCGCACAGAACGCTGTTACCTTCCCACCAAAGGTGGCCTCTATTTTTCTACTTTTTTTTACGTGCTTTCAAACTGCTGGTTGGCAGAAGCTGGGACAAGCAATGGGAGCTCACTCCGTTATGCAGCACTAGGGATTTGAACCGCTGAACTGCCGACCTTTTTTTTTTTTTTTATTGAAAAAGTTTTCAAATACAGATTTTCCCCCTTTTTCCCCCCTCTCCCTCCCCCTCCCTAACCCCCCTCCCCACCCCACCCATCCCCCCCTGTGACTTCTTCATAACAAAAACAATCTAATTCATAACAGATTACTTACTCCCTCCTCTAGATATTGACCTTTACTTACTAAAAATATTATTAATATTATAACATCCCCCTTTATCCATACATTTCAGAAAAGAGAAAAGGAAAAAAAGGGGAAAAAAAAAAAGGACATTATACTATAACATTATAAAATAACTTCTCCACTTTAAAACTATACAATAAATCCTACTTTAACATTTAATCTTCTATGTATATTACTATAACATTTCATAGCAGCCTTCCCCGTCAAATCTAGTTTAACATTTATTCCACTCTATCCATTTCCTCCACTCCCCTAAATATATCACTTAAAAATCCCTTTTCTTAGACTAATCAATCTACTAACTAGCTTATTCACCTACTATCATGCAAAATTACCATACACATTTCTTAATATCTTTAATTCACTGCCCACACTACTTAAAAATATATGTCTATATTTTCCATTATATCTAAATAAAAAAAAAGAAAAGACAATAACTTTAAATTTATAATCCATATAGTATCTTCTTTAAGGTCTTTCCACTGGATTGGTAGAACCAACATCCATAATCGGGTAACATAGCTTGCTGGTGCAACAGTTTATTCAAGATCTTCAATCATATCTGCCCCCATCAGTAGTAAATATCTTCTTATATATATAAAAGTAAAAACAACCACCCGAGTGACATTATAATTATATTCCATATAGTAATAATTGTGGTTTCATCAGGATTATAAATTCCCGTCATCGTAGTGGGTAACAACCCGATCTTCTGCATGCCCCAGCATAATTCTCTTGCCTTGTAATTCGAGATAATATAATATATTTATCAACACAAAAAAAAAAATTCCAAAATGGATAATTCAAATCCATCAGTTTAAGGCTCATTTCACGTCCCCAAATTACGGCCATGCAGAGATCTGCCACAATCTTCAGGATGATATTAACCAATACATCGCCTCTTCTGTGTTTACACATAATCATTCATATTTTAAAGTCACTGGCTTCACTGTTGCCTGATTTAGAAATTTCTATTTTTATGCCACCTATTTCTTTTTTCCTTTACTTTTTGTGGGTTTGGTTTCCATCCTGGTTTCTTTTCTACAAATTGTGTATCATCTGGTCGGATTTTGTTCTGCTTTGTAGATTGGTCTTGTTGGTTTTGTATTTGTATCTCATATTTCTTTTTTATCTCTTGTATTTCCCCTAATTGGTTTCCATGCTTGTCCTTGCCTTGATAAGTCATCACATTAAGGTTAGATGCCACTTCTCTCAGATTTATAGATAGTCCAGCTGGGGTATCCGATGAAACCAAAGGCAATTCATCTGGTACAGTCTCTATATTTCAATATTTTACCTTTATTTCCGGCTCCTTCTGCTTATTGTGTATTATACCTAAAGATGTTAAGTTCATTTTCAACCTATTTTGATAAAATTCTTCCGCTCTTTCAACAGTGTTTAGCTGATATCTTTCTCCTTGATATCTAAATATACCAACTGGGGCGTCCCACCTGAATGAGATATTTCTCTTTTTTAACTCATTCACCAAAAAACCAAATTTCTTCCTTTCCATCAATATCTTAGGTGGGAGTTCCTTATAAATCCAAATCTTTCTTCCATGCAGTTGCAACTTAGAATTGAAGGAATTTTGCACGATGTTATTCCTAATTTCTTTATCTATAAAATAAATCACCACATCTCTAGGCAATTGCCTTTGCTTGGCAATCCAAGAGTTGATTCGATAAACTCTATCAATCCTACTAAACACTTCATCAGGTTGAACCTTTAGAATCCCAGCTAGAAATTCAGAAGATATTTTCCTTAAATCATCTCTATTATTTTCCTGCAAACCTCTTAATCTTATCGCATATTCTGTAAAATTATATTGTACCATTAAAATCTCTTTTTCAATCTTCTGTTGCAGATTTTCTGCATTACCATACTTTTGATCAGCATTCATTTTAAGTTTTTCTTCTAAGCTATTATCCTGAATGTTTATCAAGTCATTTTCAATTTTTTGGATTCTATTGTCCAATTTATCTTGAGTTCCTTCCATTTTAGACTCTAGTACATTAGTATTTGTGTCCAACCGCATCATAAATTCTGTAAAACCATTAGCCATTTTTGAGAATTTTTTCTCCAAAACATCAAACTTTGATTTCACCAATTCTTTAATTTCCTGCTTAAATTTTTCAAATTGCTGATTCACAATCTCCTCCCTTCTTTCAATCTCTTCTATAAAAAATTATATTATATTAAAATCAGGTTTCTCAGACTGAAGAGTTAAAACTTGTTCCTTTAAGTTGCTGGTGGGGGAATCCCCCCCCTTCTTGTTTATCTGACTTTATGAGTCTCAGTGCCATGTTTCCGCCCAGGCAGACTTTGTTAAAAAAAAAAAAAAAAGCAAGAAAGACTTCTTTCCAATCAACAACAATATCAGGTCTCTAAGGGAGAGAAAAAGAGAAAAAAAACACAGGAGCGAAGTTTTGTCTACAAATGTAGCCAGTGGTATTTATTCCGCTACATTGTAGTAATAAAAAACGGAAGGACTTTCCCTTTCAGCCTCTCCTCCAGCCGACGCCATTTTAAAAGGCTTTTTTTTCCTCTTTCTTTTCCTCCTCTCTCTTAAGTAATTTCTTTTAAAAATTCAGTAAAATACTTGCGGTTCAGTATTACAGGTCCAGCTCACATTTTCTTTGAGTAGTCTGTTAAATTTACAGGCTCGCTTTTGACGCCTAGCTCTGCATCAGCAGAGGTCTCCCAAAGCCCGGAGCAGCGGCTGGGGATACGGGGCATCTCATCCGCTCCGTCCCAAAAGTAAAAAAAAAACTTTTGGGACTCCGCAGAGAGTTCTACCCACCCCTGCCGGCTCTATCTCCGTTTCCTCATGGAAACGGAGTTTTTTCGAGCCGCCATTCCGTTGTGAAGGCGGCTCTGACAGGCGATGGAAGCTGACGATCCCAAAGGAACGTCTGGCAGCGACAAGCAGCAAAACCGGAAGCCGAACTGCCGACCTTTTGATCGACAAGCTCAGCGTCTTAGCCACTGAGCCACCACGTCCCTCTATTGCTATTATAGATTTCGGTTTTTCTAGATTCTTGTGCTTTGCTTTGTTTTTCACTGTAATCTAAGCATCTGAGGGTTGCTGTGGGTTTTGTGATATAATAAATAAAAGAAGAACTAAGAATATACAAGCGGTATGCATGTGTGAAATAAGTCTGTGCATTATCCGCACCAACCAAAGACACATTTATTTTACTTTGTTTTATTTATTTTATAACTTATAGCTCTGGCATAAGTCCAATGTAACATTTCAGATGCATTATTTTAAGAAACAGCTGCATGACACCCATCTTTCTGAGAAAAAAAAATGTTCCTCTGTGACAAGGAACATACAAATTGTGCTAGTCTTTTATTCCTATTGACTTGACAGCTGACAGTTGCATTCTATATGTAATGCCGGGAAAACAGAAAGGAAAACTCAGAACAAAATGGGCATTTTGATTCATTAGAAAGTAAATATATATATATAATTTATTTCTTCTTTCCTTCTAATCATTTTCACATGTTTTAATGCAAATTCATATAAACTTTAGGCCCAAAATTAAGGGCACATTATAAATATTGGTTGTTAAAATGTACCTACCGTCATACACTGTAACCCTCCTTTCATAATCTCTTTCTTCTTTATACCAGAAAGAAGAAGAAAGATAACATAGGGAACATTTGAATCCCCCAGATGCTCCAAATTAATTTGCATTTGACATGAAGCTTTTTCTTCTAGGAATTAGCTAACACAACAGAACACCATAATCCTGCTTTACTATGATGAATGAAATAGCTAGCTGATGAATTCTGAGATTAAAGAAACATCAAAAATAATTTAAGTTATATAAACAATGCCCATTCTCTCTCTCTCTCCCACACACGCAAACACAAATACTTCTGGTCACCCATCATGTAAACAATCCAATAGATTGTGGATATAAATAAACTAAATATTGGTATTGTATAACTTTTTTATCCCTTAAGACTCAGACAAGAGTAAACAGCAGTATTTATAATTATTTAGATGCTAATAGTCACAGAAAGCAGCAGAAACTAACTGATCCTTAATGATCTCCAAAAACGAAAACAAAAAACTTAAGCAGATTGAGACCTGGATTAGAAATCTATCACCCACTCACTTCTCATAAACTACACATTTTAGATGAGTCCATCGAGGATTTAATTTTTATGTGGTACAAAAGTGTGTTCATGCAGCATTTTTAATTTTCCATTGTAAGATTTCAAAGCTACAGTAAACACTTAAATGTAAACATGGCAAAGTGTGTCGAACAGATAGGAGAGAAGAATCAATCTGAATCTGAGATAATCATTATACTTTTGAGTTTAAAAGTTAAAATTCTTGAAAAGTTGGTTTTCGTAATTAAGACTGAGTTTAATTTTTAAATCAAGTCTTCTGTGCTGATAGAAGATTGAATGGAGCTAAGAAAGTTGTTGGGAATCAGGATGCTCAAAGCAAGCCAGGGTAATGGTGCAGAAAACAGATAATAAGGTATGCACTGTCATTTTGGCAAGTAGTATGGAAAAGGATTATTTCATTCTAAAATACAACGTGTGTGTGTGTGTGTGTGTGTGTGTGTGTGTGTGTGTGTGTGTGTGTAGATTTTAATGACAAAATCAAAGTGCCTATGCTGGATCTTATTGCTGATTTAGAATTGAGGGTTGTTTTTTTTCTAATCTATGTAAGGTAATTAATTATTTGGGGCTATTGATACAATTTTCTATCTCTAATATTGTCCTTTGTCAATCTATTATCAGGCCTCTCAGTCAGTTTGGCTGGGATTCCTGTCATCATTCTTATGTGATATTTTCATAAAGAAACACTGTTTCAGTTCTTAATTGCTTTGGTTCATGTTACAGAATGTCACTATTTTTTTCTCTCATTGACCCTTCTCTCTCCCTTTTGTTAAAGTATATAATTTTAATGGTGCTGTTTAGGTCTTTTGTCTCTAAATTGATTGTCTCAATAGATTTTTCTTTTAATTGTTACTTTCAATACAATGTTGACTGGTGGAACAAACATTTTCTCGTCAAGGCCCAGTCAACCAAGTCAATACACCTAAAATATTTGATGGGATGAAGAGAGCAGGTACACTGGTTAGAAGTGATTTATTATGCTTCTTGCAGTCCATTCCTGAAGAACTACAAAATGGGGAAGGATTTGGATACCTTATTATGTTTCGGCCCCTTGGCTCCTTCAGCTGGACTAAAGCCGTGGTGACTTCAGTGGAGGCATCGAAATATATCTACAGAAATGAAAGCATCCCATCATTATTTCCCTTTGAAGTAAAAGTGGGTGTGTTTAATCATGAAGGAGTAGGCACCCTCAGCCCAGTATTTCTTGTGTATTCTGGAGAGGACGGTAAGTAAAGTAGTACATATCTCATATTTCCATTTATTTCTGTCATAGGAAAGAGAATTTGGAAACCCATCTGAAATGCTCCCAGTAATACAGCTGATGCAATATGCACATGATGCAGTGGTTTAATACTTAATACACAGGAAGTCTTTAAATTAAGTCATAAATCTTACGGATGAGATTATAAATCTTATTATTTCAGGATATCTACAGTATGATAAAGTTTCTTCTATCTTTCAGTTTAACAACTATGCAACTATGTTCCCAATGTTTTAGGAATAGTCTGCTAAAAAATTAAGTAACAAGTGCCTCTGTGCCTCTGCTTTTTCCTAGAGCCTCAGATAGCCCCGACTGGCATTTCAGTACAAAGTGTCTCATCTTTTGAAATGGAAGTATCTTGGAACCCTCTTGTATGGACCAGACATACTGGAAGGATTCTTGGCTATGAGGTGTTGTTGTTGAAAACCTATTAAATATTCTCAGCCAAAATATATGCTTCCCATCTGTACCCATCTGCTGTTTTCTCTAAAATAATCTTGTCTGTTCACTAATTTCACATGTGTCTTTGTTCTTGCTCTAGTGTGCTATTTCACCATATGGGTTTTACTTTTGACAACTGAGCCTTTCTTCAGCTTAAGTAGTTTCCATCTCATTATCTTGTTATAGGTAGAATACTATACATATACACACACACACACACACACACACACACACACACACACACACATACTGTGTTTCCCCAAAAATAAGAACCTGTCTTATATTTTTTTTGAACTCTGAAATAAGTGCTTGGCCTTATTTTCGGGTATGTCTTTTATTATTTTGGGGTGCGTGGAGCAAGACGGGGCTCATCTTGCCATCTTACCTGATTTCCAGCTCTGTCTCCCTAACCCCAACCAGAGGAAATGGCAGGGACCGGCTGCGCATGCATTTAAATATTTTTGGGGAGGGCTTATTTCTGGAGAGGGGTTATTTTCAAGGGGGGAGCTTATTTTAGCACTTGCGCTCAAAAGCCCGATTGGTCTTATTATCAGGGGATGTCTTATTTTAGGGGAAACAGGGTATAATATAAAAAGTATATATCTTTTTTGTAAAAAGGAAGGAAAGAAGGATGGATGGATGGGAGGAAGGAAGGGAAGGAGGGGAGAATATATTGGTTTCTTGCATAAAGTAAAGGTAAAGGTTCCCCTTGCACATATGTGCTACTCGTTCCTGACTCTAGGGAGCAGTGCTCATCTCCGTTTCAAAGCCAAAGAGCCAGCGCTGTCCAAAGACATTTCTGTGGTCATGTGACCGGCATGACTAAATGCCAAAGGCACATGGAATGTTGTTACCTTCCCACCAAAGGTGGTCCCTCTTTTTCTACTTGCATTTTTTTATGTGCTTTTGAACTGCTACTTTGGCAGAAGCTGGGACAAGTAACGGGAGCCACTCCGTTACGTGGCACTAGGGATTTGAACCGCTGAACTGCCGACCTTTTGATCAACAAGCTCAGCATCTTAGCCACTGAGCCACCACATTCCTTTCATACTTTCATGGTTTCTTGCATACCAAAAAGCAAAAACCAAAGGCTACATAGATCATATGTAGAATGTTGATTAAAGATAATGTGAACATGCCCATACTAGATTCAGGGATGAATCACTGTACAACTGATTAAGGAGGCAAAATAACAAGGCTGCAAATGTAGGTAGCTTTCAACATGTGAAAACACTACAGTTCTATTCCTTGAAATATAGCACAGTACTCTCTTACATATGACAAGATTATAACTGTTAGCTTAACAAGTTGACCCTGTACTTAACAGGGGAAGGAGAACAGGTAAGGAAGTAGTAACTACAGCTCTGAATCTGCTACATCTCACTAAAGGCATAATTTCTTTAGATACCTATAAAGAATCATTTTCTGTTATTTTCCTCAGCTACGGTGAACTGTTATTTCAGGGTGAAGGAGCCAGGTGAAACCTCAGTTGTATTTTGAGATCTTCTTATATCTGTGAGGATTTTTCCCCTCTAATCTTTATTTTTAGTCCTTCAAAAGTTGGTGTTCTGCCAACTTGGCTTCTACCTCCTACTTTGTGTGAGTAATCCACACTTGGAAAATGACTTTGTTATTAGAATAGCTAATGTAGTTCATAGATTATCAGCTAGTCCTCATCAAGCATTTGTTAGAACTCAGAAAATGTCTAAGTCAGTAGCTATTTAATTATAACTGCCTAGATAAAAACAATTTCACATTTGGAGATCTAAAAAAGGAAAAAATGAAGTAGTGTGCTTACATATAATTTATATTTAATATGTGACATATGTTTTTATAAAATTATTTGTTGCTTCTGAAACTTTTTTTTGTCAACTTTGTTGTCATAATTAAGGGAGAAAAATTCTGTCTTTGTTATTAAACTTTAGGTCTTATATTGGATGAATGATTCCAGAGACTCAACAACTGGGAAAATAAGAGTCAATGGCAATGTAACAACAAAAAACATTACCAGTCTTAAGGCCAATACTATGTACTTTGCCACAGTGAGGGCTTACAACACAGCTGGAACTGGTCCATCCAGTGTTCTGGTAAATGTGACTACAAAAAAACCACGTGAGTATCTTCAATTTCTAATGAATGAAAAGCACAAGTGCATTTGACTCGCAATAAATGCAGAGCCTTGCCATGTAGCATAACAACAACCAAAACATTATTTGAAAAGCAAGCTATAACATGGATTCCTAATGACCATAAATGATTAAAATCAAAATTAGCTTCTTTTCTTCCAAATAATGCTTGTAGTTCATGAATTATCAAATATATATTTGTGTTGGTCAATTATTTTTGAAGGAAACCTTCCTGTCTGTTCTAGTCATCTGTGTCTTGGGCATCTATTTCCTGAGCACAAGTTTACAATAGGGCAATATAGCAAGGAGAGTAATTTGTATCTCTGAGGAAGGGCAAATTATGAAACTAACAGTGTGACATCATAATGCAAGCTCCACCCATTTTTATATTTATATTATGTTGCACAGAGAGAGAGAGAGAGAGATAAAGAGAGAGAGAGATAAAGAGAGAGAGAGATAAAGAGAGAGAGAGGGTGGAGTCTGCATCATAAAGCTCATTTCTTTATGGTGACCAAGACCATTAGATTCTGCAAATGCCTTGGTTGCACATTTTCTAATTCACATAAAACAAAATAAATCAACATCTTAGTGTTTATATTCACACTTAGTTCCATGTACTGTATAATTTGGAAATAGAAATAACAATTGTAAATAAATGCTTTTTCCAAAAAAAAAAAAAAAAAGGAAATAGTCATTTTGCCATATTGAAGGCTTGATCACATTTACAGCTGGAATTTTTTAGCAACCTTGAGTTTAAAGGTCTGTTTCCAACATTTGAAATTTCAGCATCTAACAATAATAAGAAAAAGAAAAAGAAGCAGAGCTTTGGCCTTTGGGCATGCACTTATTTTATTATTGATAAACAGGAGAAAATGACTGTTGCTTTTTCATTATAAGCAAGTATAAGAAATTCACCATCTATGAAGGAATTAGGTGTGCTTAAATGCATTCATTACAGCTGGCTTTGGGGCATTATTTGCCAGACTCTTTTAAAGCATTAATGAATTCGTATTGGTTTTCACTGGCATAACATAATATAACAAAATCTCCATGTTTTACCTTGGATAGGGTAGCACTTCCTCATTCAAGGCTGGTTCAAAATATAGAGATTTTTTTTTCCCCTGAACTCAGAGCTCTGCTTGATAAGCAGCTATAGCTAGGAACACTTTTGCACAGTTTCATCTGGTGTATCACTTCAACTCTTTCCTGGATCAGAGGGCTATTTAGGCAGGTAGTCATTCATGCCATGATTATTTCAAGGATTGACTCCTACCACATGCTGTACATGAGGCTGCCCTTGAAGACCATTGAGAAGATTCAACAGGTCCCAGGATGCAGCATTGGAGATGCTTTGATATGCTCATGTAACAAACTGCATTGGTTATCAGTTTGCTTCTGGGTGTCATTCAATAGCAACAGCAATAGCACTTAGGCTTATACAGTATACTGCTTTACAGTGCTTTACAGCCCTCTCTAAGCAGTTCACAGAGTCAGCATATTGTCCTCAACAATCTGGGTCCTCATTTGACCCACCTCAGAAGGATGGAAGGCTGAGTCAACCTTGAGCCTGGTGGGATTTGAACTGCCAAATTGCAGGCAGGCAGCAGAAGTAGCCTGCAGTACTGCTCTCTAACCACTGCGCCACCGAGGCTCTAGATTCAAGATGTTGTTTACTGCCTATAAAGTCATCAAGGTTATCTTAGTGACCACTTGTCTCCAATAGCATTTGCTTGGCCACTTAGCTCTTGTGGAATTGGTATGCTCCAAATTATTTCTATTAAGCAATGTCATCTTTTGAGACTCCAGAAATGTGCCTTCTTTGCAACACTGTCTACCCTCTGCAGTGAGATTCTCCCTGCAATTAAAATATACCCTCACTCTACTGATGTTTTGAGTGGCCCTAAAGACATAGGTTTTTACCCAATCCTTTGGTGAGGATGATTGATGTTCCCTTTACTTCTTTGTTCCCAACTGGGTTTGTCTTCTCTGCTATCTTTGTTTCTTTTGTTCTTTGTTTGTGTGTGTGTGTGTGTGTGTGTGTGTGTGTTTTGGGATGTTTCTTCATTCCCAAATGTTTTAAACAATTTGTAGAGTGCCCAAAATCACTGGGAGTTGAGCAGAAAATTTATTATTTTAATTTATTGAAAAATATGAAATCATAGCTGCCAGTTCTTTAGCTGGTGTTGGCCTTAATATGTACCAAGTTCTTTCCAAGAGCCTGGATGTCACAATGTATTGGGGTAGTATATATGTGGATCCAAGCAGTGTGGATTTTTGTAATCAACAGGTAGAAATTTTATGAATGTCCAATTTTTTTTTTGTATGATACCCAGTGTGCCTTTATGAATTTTATGAATGTCCAATTTTTTTGAGGGGGCGGGGGTATGATACCCAGTGTGCTTGTAATCACTGGGATCACCACAACTGGTTTATGCCACAATCTTTCAATTTTGATTTTCAAATCTTGTTACTTTATGATCATCTCCAATTCTTTGTCCTCTAACAACCTCCTGGTATTATAACATCAATCAGCCACACTTCTTTTCAACCACAGTTAAATTTGATGGGTTATAAGCCAAGACTTCATCAGTTTGTATTTAGAAATTCCACAATGTTTTAACCTTGTCATTTTCAATTATTTTATCTATATTCACACCAATTTATCATTACTGGCCCATGATAATTTTTACAGACGTTCCACTGAATCTTTTTAGCGACTGTGTCATCTGCTGTTCATAAGTAGTATATGATCTACCGCTTCTTCTGGTTCTTTGCACAATCTACACATTGAATCATTTGATGATTTTTCAATTCTAGCCTTAATTGCATTAGTTTGAATAGCTAGCTGTTGATTTTTTGTTTTTTTTAATGCTCCAGTTGCAAGTCACTGCTAGATTTTATCTTTATCCACTTTCCTCTGGATCTTTTGCAGAAATCAACCATGTAATGCTTTTCCTTGCCAACATTCTGTTCTTGTTTTTATTACATTATTTCAATATTCATATTTTGTTTCCTGCACATATAGTAAGTTCAAATTTTTCATTTGCATCACTGCTTGTACTTGGCTGTCTGTTATATATTCAGCTAATGAATGCTTTTCTTCTTCCATAGTTTGTTTGACCTGAAGTTAATTTTTGCCTCCCTTTTTGTGGGGCAGATATACTGTAGTCTATCACTACATGAATAGTTATCAGTTTTCTTGTTTTTTGGCCCAATGTTCAGTTCAGCTTGCATCCAGTTAATAATATACTTTCCTGAAAAAGGGGCTAGAAAGAGACTCAGACTGGCCTCTCCATGGGTCCCTGACTGGGATATGAAAGGGAGGGGAAGCAGATTTGTATAGTTCTATTAATTCTATTATTTCCTGATGAGAACAACGTCAAAGGGCTTGGAAGTAAAATGCACTCATGTCTCTCGTGTCTAACAAAAACCACATTGAAATTGGACTGGGATATTTTGTGAACAATTTAAGCAGAAGAAACCTAAAATCAGGGAGATCCAAGTTTCATAATGCCAACATTTAATGCTCAGTTTCCCCCCTTGATTCAGTACAATTGGACACACATGAAAGCTAGAATGGTGTCTACAATTCTCTGTGGGGGAGAAAGTGTTCTTTCCAGTGGTGAAATCCAAATATTTTACTACCGGTTCTGTGGGCGTGGTGTGGCTTGGTGGGTGTGGCTTGGTGGCCGTGGCAGGGGAAGGATACTGCAAAATCTCCATTCCCACCCCACTCCAGGGGAAGGATATTGCAAAATCTCCATTCCCACCTCACTCTGGGGCCAGCCAGAGGTGGTATTCTCTGGTTCTCCAAACTGCTCAAAATTTCCACTACTGGTTCTCCAGAAACTGTCAGGACCTGCTGGATTTCACCCCTCGTTCTTTCCATTAAATTGATAGAGCTACTGTTAATCTTGTCCATTCATGGTCTTCTTCAGATTATGAGATTGGCCCCCAATAAATATAGTTACTCTCCCTGGAATGTCACTTTGCCCTTTTTTGTTTTAACTCTTTTTCTTTTTAGGTTACATATGGAGACACGACCTCTAATGCAAAGGTAAAGGGTACTTTGTGGTTATGTATTTCTTATGCATGCTGGGTCCAGGGGTGGGTTTCACATATTCTTACCACTGGTTCACTGCACGTGCGCACCTTCTGCACATGCGGCCAGCCTTCTGTGCATGCCCTTTGCTCTCGTGCGCACCTCCCGCACATGTGCCCAGCCTCGAAAACATGGCTAAATAGGATGGCATTATGCCAGGGTGGGTGGACAGGCACACCCGCAGTCGCCGCTACCAGTTCACCCGAATCGGTCCGAACCGGCTGAATACCACCTCTGACTGGATCCTTATAAACATTTTTCAACTTAGTGCACATCAAAAAGAGAGTGAGGTCAAGATTATAAATTGAAGCAGACCTTTGCTATTCATCAGTAACTACCCAATATTTTCAAACAACAGAAGCATCCTTATGTCTGAAATATTCTACATAGAATCCTTAACTAAAATAATCCTGTTTTGCAGATCAAGTTCGAACGTATGTATATTGCTATTCTTCAAACAAATTCTTGCTGGGTATATTGGAACTACAAGTTCCAAGAATTCATAGATTGCATGATCACAGTGGTCCAATATATCTGCAGGATATACCAAATTAAGGCAGATGAATATTGTATTTATTTTTCAGATATGGAACATCTTAGCTATGTATCTGAAAATTGATTTTGGGAAAATGACTACAATGTTTCTGTACATCATTTAACATTAGCTTATTATTTATTCCTGGTTTTAGATGGAGAAAATACTAAGGAAACAACTAGAATTGGATTGTGATATATATATACCATGTATTTCCTTTTTACTAGCAGGGAACTTTATTGAGAGACTTTGTGTATGAAAATTAACAGTGTTGCAACCTGGCCTGCTTGTTGATCTTCTGGATTCATAACATGGTCTCCTTGCCATCTCTTTCTAAGAGAATTAGCTCTTTCTTATTCACAAAAATAGATTAACCATAGGAATAGATTCTCTCTCTCTCTCTCTCTCTCTCTCTTTCTTTCTTTCTATCTATCTATCTATCTATCTATCTATCTATCTATCTATCTATCTATCTTATCATGATCATCATCATCTAGTATATATCTTATTCTTTGAGTCAGTTTCTTCTAGTAGTTAAGGCATAAGACTAGAAACCAGAAGATGGTTAGTTGTAATCCTGCTGTCAGGGTTCCGACGGATGCCCTAATTAAATCATGAGCCTCATGCCAAGCTTCAAAAGAAATCCAGTTATTTATTAGGAGCTTCATGTCGGCACATTCCCAAGTGAAGCCAACTCTGACCCCATGTAATTTATGCCCCAATCATGACCCTGTTTCCCCCCTCCCCCCAGGGTGTGTCAATGGAACAATTTCACGGGTTGTAGAGATCACCCCCCTCCGGCTGCTGTGGGTGCCCTGGGAGACAGCCTTGAGAGAGATAAGTCTGGAATGTGCATCTGTCTTTGGCTGCCATGCTATTTTGCCAGTTTTCCATCCCCCTTGCCTATGGTACCTCAAGAGTAGGCCAGGGATGCTTTGTGAGTTGACACAGGCCTTAGGTGTGAAAGCCAGCTGGGTGACTTTGGGCCAGTCACTCTCTCTCAAACCACAAAGTGAGGCTTGGGTGACAAGCTGTTGGTCAATTCCTGTTGCAATTAATGGACTAACATTTGGTTGATCTGAAAAAAGTAGACCATGCACTTGCAGTAAAATGTGAAGAAGAAAAAATATATTGTTTCACCTATCCCATGGAAAGAATATGTAAAAAGTGGGGAGAAAAATGTCAAAGAATGAGTTTTATATAAGACTAAATCTATGACATTTTAATGAAGAATACAGAAGTGTGAATTATCAATCAATCAAGTCTAGGTGATGATGATGGTGATGATGATGATGATGATGATGATGATGATGATGATGATGATGATGATGATAAATGTGAAGCATTTGTGGATTCATGTAAATGTCTATGGAGGTTCTCAATCATCCAGGTCAGGGATGCCCCAAAGGTGCTGTTCAAAAGGCTACTGGACTTTCTTGGTTTTTTTCCTTGAAAACTCATGTAATTTGTCAGCTGCAATTAATAGCCGATCAGGAGGAGTAATGTGCTGTTATATAACCAGGCAACCAAGAAATATGTACTGTATTGCATATAAGATACTATATAAAATGTTCCACCTTTCTTCCAACTGCATGGCATTTGAGAGTATTGAGTTATAAGGGTAATTATGTGAAGGAGAAAGCAAATATTACCCAGATCCAAGGAGGAAAGCTTTGAATAATTGATAGGAGTTTCATGGGAACATTGTACAGACTGAGATTATGCTTGAACAGGGTAGCTGTGTGTCCTAGCTCTGGATGAAGATCTCTTCTCTTTGATCCAATTGCAGTTAATATTAAGTGGCAAGCAGGAGGTTTACCCATAGGCTATAGCTGGATGGCATCAACAAAAATAACTTGATCACAGTCTGTGGTCTATTTTATTTTTATATCAGCTAGATAATAGACAGATCTCTATTTGCACACACACACACACACACACACAGAGTCAGTGTATATATGGGAATGACAGTTGTGTCTTGCTGGAACTTTATGTAACTGTGTATAAAACTCTACATTTTCTTTATTTAAATAATGTGCAAGCAGCCATCCCGTGCCAAGTTATCTACTATGAGATTCATGAATCTGAAATATTTATTTTGTCAGTCAACCTTATCCTTGGGGAAAAAACATATACAAACTATAAATTATACAATTTGAGTCAATATTCTTTAAAAATTAGTTATACACATTCTTTTTCTTTCTTTTTTTTCCCAGCTGTAAACTTGTGGTCAGTCTTCACATGGACAAAAAGGAATCATTTTAATGGCCATTGTGGCTAATTTTATCTTATCCAATTTTGTAAGGTTTTCAGAAAACCTAAATTTAGGAATGTAGGAATTTATGTAGGAAATGCTCCAAATACATTAACAATATAAGTATCTATAAACTTACAAAAAGGTGTGCTGTTTTGATTTCAATAGGTACAGATGATTAAATAAAAGTTTAGCCTAAATTAATCTTGGCCTGGAGCCAGAGAAAAGGCAGACACAATTGCATATGAAAATTAGCATTCATGCAGAGTTTGGGAGTAGGTCGATTCAGAAGACTTTGCTATTTCAGGCTTATATTAAACCATGCAGGTCTGAGCTACTTTCATGTCAACTTACATCCATCTGTAGGAGACTTCCTGCTGCTACCTTCACTGATGTATCAAGCATTTTCCTAGAAGGCACAGTTTCCTACACCCTATACCAATATAAATAAATAAACAAGTTCTTCTTCATTTATATTCCAAATATTGAGCACAGAAACAACAGGCAGAGCTTGCAGTCATTGTAAATTGTTCCCCTTCTTAGTTTCATAGCTGCATGGATTAGCAGGAAGCACTTCTTAGATCTGCTGAGGAAGAGACTTGGAGGTCTTCTAGTTCAACCCCTGTCCAAGCAGGAGACCCTATAGCATTTCAGACAGATGGATGTCCAGTCTTTTCTTAAAAACCTTCAGTGATTAAGTCCCTACAACTTCTGAAGGCAAACTGTTCCACTGGTTAATTGTCCTCACTGTTATGAAGTTTCTCCTTAATTCCAGGTTGCTTCTCTCCTTGATTAGGGGTTTTTTTTTTTTTTTATCATTTATCATTCCTTTATGTCCCATTCTTCTGGGGCAATCAGGAGATGCTATCACTTCTTGTTATCATGTCCAAGCAAGAATAAATGCTATCAGTAAGAGAAAAAGTCAGGAATGAGAATGAAATCCCACCCCCCTGCATTAAAGCAGGTCAGCTCCAGTAATACCTTCTGGCCTTATAGATACTGACAGTCAAAGGGTATGCGAATCTCTTAATGAAACCCAATAGGTGGATACTAAAAGACGTAACTGCTAAATTGTGGGCAATAATGACAGTAGTTCACAATTTTACGCAATTTCCATATCAATAATATGTCCCCAGTTCTGAACAGCACTAGAAACACCTTATATAGCAAAAACTATTTGTAATGAAAGGGTTCCAAGAATGACTTGATTTACTATAACTCAGATGATTTTGTTAACCATTTATCAGTTGCATTCTGAAAAGTAAGGATTTCATGAATATTATGTTCTTTTTTTTCATAGCTCCAAGTCAGCACCCAATAAACATAGTCTGGCGACTGACCAATTCAAAAATATGCTTGAACTGGGACCATGTGAAAACAATGGCAAATGAGTCCGATGTCCTAGGCTATAAAGTAAGATTGTCAGGAAGATCCTGGTAAATGTTACGTACATGAGTAATGATAGTTTGAATTAACTAAGTCTCTATCTTTCTTGTGATCTATTTTTTTTTAAAAAAAGGTTGTTTACTACATAAAATCATGTTGATATTTGGAACATGTAGTATGAGATTTATGAAGTTACATAATAACGGTGGGCTAGTTTGTATTCCAGACACTTCAAACAAATCTGTTTTGTCAGTGCAAAAATCTATATCAAAGTGAGGACAAAGAAAACAGAGATTATGAAATAACAAGACAAAAAGCTGCTGTTTCAAAAATGCAAATATTGTTCAGAGGTTTTACTTGTGGTGGAGCTACCCATGCTGGCTGAGAATTCTAGGAATTATAAAGAGGAAACCAAGCTAATGAAAGCTTGGATGCTAGAGGTTGTGACTGATCACAAACTGGGAACAGAAAATAAATATTCACTGGTTGTACCCTATTGCCAGAAGACAACAGACTTCAGGCATCCTGAGTTTATTTTGCTGACGATGTTTTATAATGGAAATGTATGCAACTACCGTTATTCCAGGTGTCAAACACTAATGCAACTGTTTTGTAGGAATAAACGTATGATGAACGTATCTTTTCTTTTATGTACATGGAAAGCATATGCACCAAGACATATTCCTTGTGTGTCCAATCACACTTGGCCAATAAAAAAAATTCTATTCTATTCTATTCTATTCTATTCTACTCTACTCTACTCTACTCTACTCTACTCTACTCTACTCTACTCTACTCTACTCTACTCTACTCTACTCTACTCTACTCTACTCTACTCTACTCTACTCCACTCCACTCCACTCCACTCCACTCCACTCCACTCCACTCCACTCTATTCTAAACTGTTCACACAAAGTTGTGTTCCTTGTTTACCCATATCCCATTATTAATTAGAGGAATCTAATTTAAAAAGGGGGTGAAGTATCTTCTCTGTTGTGGTTGTTAATACCTGTACAGAAAATTACCCACAAATATATGAAAATATGCTATCCCACTTTACTGCATCCCTCGGCCATAACAGGGTAGTCTTCTCAAATCTGAATACCCGTAAGGTGTGTAGTCTAACTCTTAGAATTCTCTGGTTAGCATGACTATTGTTAAAAAAAAATCTGGGAGTTAGATATTCACACTGTTGAAGCATGTCACAATTGGAGAAGGTTTTCATATGCTGTTGCTCACATTAGCAAAAGATGTTAATGAGCTAAATAGGTGACTATATTGTGACACTTTCAAGATCACATATGGTTCTTACAAATTTGAATAAAACATAAAAATATCTCCATTGCTTAATAGAGAATTAGCGTGTCAGAAATAATGCTATCTTCACCAACTTCATTTTTGTTGTGGTCTGCTGGCAGCCTGCGGAGCTGGCAGCAGAGTCGGACAGTGAGGAGGCTGGGAAGGAACATGGGCCAGTCCCGGAGTCTGGGGAAGGTTCGGATAAGGGCTCTGCATTGGAGGCAGAGATGGGGCCAGGGCCATCTGGGAGTTATGTACTGACTCCGGAGCCTCCAGAGTCTGACATAAGTGAGACAGAGGGGATTGCCTGTGCACATGCACAGAGCTGCCAGAAGGGAGGTGCCTGCGCACATGCACAGAGTTTCTAGAAGGCAAGAACAGTTAAGACAAAAGGGGTGACTCAGGAGTAAGGCTTGGAAATGATTGGCCCCTCCCATAAGACATAAAGGAGGAGCAAAGGCACATGAACCTTTGCAGGAAGCAACTTTGTTCATGCTGGTCAGTTTAAATTCTGAAGCTCCATTTTGACTCTGTGCTCTGTGTGGTCTTGCAAAGCTAATTGCCAATTAGGCTTTTGGCAGCATGTCAAGGGAGATAAAGGTGGGTGCTTATCAACCTTATCCCGAAGGACTGTGGCAGACTTCTGTTGGACTCTTTACAAACTATTTGTGACTCATCACGGGCTGCGAATGAACAGAATTCACAGCCGTTGAAATAAAAAGAAGGTTTTTAGAACTAATTGTGTGCTTTTTACTGTCTCAGGAAGCCTAGGTCAGAACAATTTTGGTGTTCGTTATTGGTATTTGTTTCCACTTACACACAAATATAGTATGCCCCAAGAATGTGATTATTGGGGCACTGATTCACTTCATGCACATCCATAGGAGTAGGACAATATTAGTTTAATGTAGAGAATATTAAAGGAGTGAAAACAAGATGTTGTGTAACAGTCACTGGGAAGAGAAAGAGTTTTCACTTAGAAAGACAAAAAAGACAAACACTTCCAACATGTTGTGCCTGGTGATTCGTGTCACCAAAATTGGTTTTCAGTGATGTCCAGAACACATTTTCAAAATGTGCCAAATGTGCATGTAGCTATAATGGTCCAAATACTGTACTATTATTACCATCATATATTTGTCATGGCTTAGGATTCTAATGCAAATAAATGTGCCATTATATGAACAACTGGCAGGCACTGTGGACATCTCCTTATAGCCCCATTGAATTCATACAGAGCACTTATAAGCAACAAGAACAGAACTTTTTTTTTTCCAGAATGAGCCTAGAGGGATCTTTGAAATTTGCTGTTTCATGAACTGAAGATGAATTTTTATAAGTTTAAAAAATAAATAGAAAATAAATGAGAAACCCTATATAAACAAAAGGAACCTATATAACCATTTCTGCCTTCTCTCCTTTTATATTTAGATTTTGTATAGGCAAAATCAACAGAGCACCACTCATATCTTAAAGACAAACATTACATCCGCTGAACTGCTAGTACCTTTGGAAGATGATTACCTCATTGAAATAAAAGCTGTAAGTGAAGGGGGAGATGGAAGCAGCAGTGAAGAAATTCGAATTCCAACCCACTCAAGTGAGTTCTCTTCCCCTACTCCTCCGTCCCTCTGTCCCTCCCTCCCAAACGATCGCTATAGATCTTGAATGCTGGAAAAGGACTTTTCAGACATGTTCTATCTTAGTAAGACAGCGTCTTAGTAGGCAACTAAGTGAACATAGGGACCATGTGTTGGTTAAGAAAGGGGAAAGCATTTGATCTATAAAAGAGCATTTGGATTTCCTGAGTGGTTGGGGTATGAAACTCTGCAGTTTGCTGATGTAAATGAAACCTGCAGCTGTGTGGAAATTTGTACAGCACTGAAATCAGTCTTCAGCACAATTGTCTTCATTATTTACTATTTTAGAACAGCTTAAAATATACCAAGTGTGGTAGCTAGGTTAAGCTATGTAATATCCCTGCCTGCAGGCTCACAATCAGCTGAAAATGAAAGACAAAAAGGGAAGGGGAAGGGAAGAAAGGACATTGCTAAACAAGGCCTCGTATGAGTATTTGCATGCATTTACTAACATATAATGACATTTGTGACCTAAACTCCATATAAAAGCATTTGTAAAGCTGAAAAGAACATTCTAAAGGGGCAACATATGATTTTTAGAAATTAAGAATTAGATTATAGAGGAGAAAAAGAGCAAGTGTGTGAGAGTAAGTGACTAGGAGAACTAACATGTCATCCATGATTTGAGCAACCTATAAACTTTACTTCTTAAGACTTCTTTACTTCTTAATAATACAAACTGCAATTTGTTCCATAATATGGACCCACCATGGACAGAGGCAGATTGGCCTCTGATATCAAAATCATCCACATCTTGACCTACAACAGATATCTCCTGGATGATCCAAGTGGATAGGGCAGATATGGAGCAAGAGCTCCATATCTGATGGAGATATGGAGCAAGAGCAAAAGTAAGATAAGAACCTTACACCTTCATAAATGAAAGGCATAAAATAAATGTTGAGAGCAGGAAATTCTATGCAGGGGTATCAGTAATAAAAGACACTAAAGGATTATCAGAATTGCTGTCTGATAAAGAGAACTAGAAGAGCAGTAAAAAAAAAGGGGGGGATAAGAAGAATGGCAGATCTAAAATGGAACGTTTGATGTGTTTCCTTGTTATATGAAAGATTTATTCAAGGGATTTTCAAAAGGTAGAGAAAATGAAGGAGAATATTTGTTGCTCAGAATTGAAATCAGGAGTCAAGCATTAGTACTGATGATGTTACCCAGTTTGGGTAATGAAACATCTGCAAGAAAACAACCAAGCTCAGAGAGCACCAAGGACCCCTCAGGTAGAGAAAAACCTGACACAATAGAACAATGATTCTCTCATGATAAGAAGCATATTCATTATAATGGATTATATTGTAATTCTCATGATTTTGTTTCATATGCACCAGACCTAATGACTGGGACAATATACAAAGATTGTATATAAATAAAGGTAAAATTGCCTATATGCTTGAAGATGAGAAACCCAGTCTACATGGATATCATGATATGTCATTTTATGAATGATATCTACATGTATAAAGCAGAAGTTTGTTCTGAATTTAATTTTAACGTATGCCACATGTTCCTGAACCTAGAGCTAATAGATTTGTGCTGCAAAAATGTGATAATCAGGTGTCAGCAAAGAAACGCAGTCCAGTAGTCCTATTCAAATTTTGACAGCATGGGTTTCCTTTCAAACTTCATTGTCAACGGAATGCATATGGATCATATTGGACTATTCGGTTGACACTTGGATTAGAAATCATACTCAATATCATTTATTAAACTATAGCTTGGTCTCTAAATATAACTGTAGAGTTTTCATGTATCAACCAATGGTGCAAGGAATTTAACGGCATACTGTAGAGAATGGCGCCAAAATACAAAACTCCTTGAAATAGTCACAGTTGGTAGTTCTCTTACCTAGATAAAGACAAAGGACTCTCTGCAGATTTTACTCCACTAGTCATTGTCAACTATAGGGGGTGGTGCTCATCTCCGTTTCAAGGCCATTGAGCCGAAGAAATTTCTGGGGTCATGTGGCCAGCATGACTTTGCAGAGCATTGTTACCTTCCCACCAAAGTGGTACCTATTTATCTACTCACATTTGCATGCTTTTGAACTACTAGGTTGGCAGGGGCAAGGATGGGAAACACCCCATTGTGTGGCGCTCAGGTCTCAAACTTGGGCTACCAGTTTTCATCTGACAAGCCCAGCATCTTAACCACTGATCCACCAAGCCACCCCTTTTGTCTAGAAAAAGGTTTTTATTCTCAAAAACCCATAGCAAATGAATGACTCAAAATCCATGTTATTTAAAATATATTTATTGATCTCTTTGAAACCAGGAAGAATACTTCTACTTCATGAATTTCAACTGTCCCTTCTTTCTCTCTATCTTTTGAGGTTTAAGCTCCAAAGGAATGTACATCTGCCCTTCAGCTGGTGACATAATTGCAAATAAAATTATAATCCTGATTTATATATTCAATTCTGCTGGATAAACAGCTGCTGGACATTTATGGACCAAAACAATAAGGAGCTAGAAATATTGGCATTTCCATTCACCCTCCATATATCAGTTTAATCTGTTGTCTCTGAAAATAGAAGCTGTGAAGAAAATATAATGATTTGCCCTTTAAAATGTAAACATAATCTAGGCTGTAGTCTTCTGCCTAGTTTTCTAGGAGAGTATGAGGTCTTTTTGAGTGGGCATATGTAAGATCATATTGAAACTGAACAACTTGTTTAAAATCTGTCTTTTAATATATCTGTCTTTTAATATATCTGTCTTTTAATATATCTGTGACTTTAATAGCAATTGTAAAAAAAAAAAAAAGTACACGGGATTGCATTGCAGTGTTTTGTTATATGTCTCATAAACATGCAAACTATTAAGAACCAGCAGTCTTGACCAATACAAGAAAAGGTTCCAATTGTTTGTGATGTACAATATTATTGAAACCAGTCAACTAAATATTTATTGATTTTTCAAATAATTTAATAAAAATATTTCTTTTTACCATTTGTCCTTTTTGTAGCAATATTTGGATCAGCAGGAGAAAAAAAAACATACAAGGGACATGAATTTTATTCCAACGCTATAATTCAACAAACAATAATATTAGTGGGAAAGGTTTTGTATGGAAAACTGTGAGACCAGACTACTAAATGTACGTTATCAAGAAATTAAAAAATATTTGCAAAAGGATAGAAACCTACATTTTTTTAGAATATAACCAAAATATGTATTTTACAAATATATTTTATATTTTTTATTGAGCAGCTTAATTATTGTATTTCAATCTCATATGAAAAGATATTCAATCTTTTTGTCATATATATTCATGATTTAAAAATTAAATGAGCTTTATAAGCTTTTCTATAACTTAATCTAACAATTGATTTTTAATGTCAAGCTAAAACAATGCACTTGTATCATTAAAGTTATAATCAGAACTCCTAGGGAGGAACTGTCTTCCCTTTATCTAGATAAAGCCTATATTCTGGGAACTATTTGGGACCAGTCATCTTCACCCTCTTACTCTCACACAAATCTCACTGTCTTTTGCTCCATCCTTCCTGGGAATCCACACTGAATTCCATAACAAAAGTTACCTGTTCTTAGCCTTATGAGTTCAGTGGAAGGGGAAGGCAATTGTGGTTATCTTTAAAATGCTTTTGAAGGGTTTCCCACAATGTGAAATGTCACAACACAGTATACATATCTTCTCTTCAGCTATTGAAATCATTTTCGGGGAAGTATACAGATGAATTCACTTTTATTTAAGAGCGCATACACTTATGTGCACACTTTAAGCCCAGGATTACGCTAAGACAGCAGCTTGTCCACCCCAAAGACAAAACATTCAGACACAAGCAGAGCAATATGATATATGCAATGCAATACAGTGACACATGTGCAGACCTGTACATTTGGGAAACAAAACATCCACTTCACAACCATATGGCATAACACCAGAGAACAAACCTATCAGGACAGGATCCAGCAGTCCATCTATATCTGAAAGACAAGGGCCATTCTTTTGAAGACAATAAAGTTCACATTCTGGAGAGAGGGGATCACTGGTTTGAAAGAGGAGTCAAAGAAGCCATCTATGTTAACATTGAACAGCTATCATGGCTTCATTTAATCTATCCAACCTTTATAAGCCAGCACCCAGACATTAGCATGTGGCAGCGGCGGGGGGGATTTGAATGTGAAGAAAGGGAAGGATGGAAGCCTAGATAATAATAATAATAATAATAATAATAATAATAATAATAATAATAATAATAATAATAATAATAATAATAATAATAATAATTTTATTTCTATACCGCCCTTCTCCCGAAGGACTCAGGGCGGTGTACAGCCTATTAAAAGCACAAGACAAACATCAATTAAAATAATTTAAAATTCAGCTCAATTTAAAACCCCAGAAATTTAAAACATAATAATTTAAAATTATTATGTTGATAGCCCAGCCTGGTGGAACAATAGGGTCTTGAGTGCACAACGCAATACCCGGAGGTCGGAGATCTTATGCATTTCTGGGGGCAGTTCATTCCACAGGGCTGGGGCTCCCACAGAGAAGCCCCCCCCCTGGGTGTCGCCAGCTGACATAACTTGGCCGATGGCACCCTGAGGAGACCCTCTCTGTGAGAGCGAATTGGCCGGTGGGAGGCTATTGGTGGCAGAAGTCGGTCTCGAAGGTACCCGGGTCCTATGCCATGGAGCGCTTTAAAGGTGGTGACCAACACCTTGAATCGCACCCGGAAGACCACTGGGAGCCAGTGCAGCTCGCGCAGGAGGGGTGTCACATGGGCACAACGAGTTGCGCCCATAACCACCCGCGTGGCCGCATTCTGGACCAGTTGGAGCCTCCAAGTGCTCTTCAAGGGGAGCCCCATGTAGAGAGCATCTTCAAGGGGAGCCCCATGTAGATGAGCCATTTGAGAAGCCAAGTTCTGAGCCAAGGTCATTAACGATATGCAGAGCTGGAAACCAAGTACCTATTTCCTGAACAATATATAAGCACCTGATTGGACATTTACAGATAACTGGGAGATGGGGGGTGGAGGGAACTTCCTTTCTGTTGCTTTCACAGGAAAACTTTAGATTCAGCTTATGCTATTTCTGTAATCATTTAAGCTTCAGTAAAGTAAACTCTTGGCAAAACAAATGGCCAAGAGTCTTTCTTTTCCAGATGACTGAACGGGATAGTTGAAAACAGCTCTCCTTCAACAGAGAGGGAGGAATACAATGCCACCAGTCTCATATTTACAATGCAGTCCTTTCAGCTGTCCCATGACTGCAAAGAATATAAATTCTTCCATTCGCCACCAATTAGTTAGAACTAATGAAACTTCTTGGGTGAGAAGCTAAATGTTTTCAAAGAAAACCAAGAAAGTCCAGTTGCCTTTTGGAAAAAGCATCTTTGGAATGTCTTATTTAAAAGATGACAGAACAATTGAATAAGCATTTTGAAGAAATTGTCATTGTTTTGAATTCTGACTGAAGAAAAAAATAGCAGAGCCTGCATTTGCTGGAAAACACTAGGAAGAAAGAAATCCTGAAGGACAGATAATAAACCTATTTATTTTTCAACTGACAAATAGGAGATTGATTCACTGTATTTCTATCTCAGGATATATCCAATGTTAAGCATCCAGAAAACCTATACCAATGAGATTGTTGATCCATGTAATTCAGACTGTTTAAAATGTCTGTGTAGACTATGATATGAAATATTTTGAAATATTTTGAAATATTTCATACATTAGGATTACATTGTTTCTCTATTTCTTTCCATTAATTTCTAGAGCCATGTTTTTTAACCTAAGCTACTTCAAGATATGTGGCCTACAACTTCCAGAATTCCCCAGCTAGCATGCTAATGGTTTTTGATGGAGGTTGCTATTAAGGTAACACAGCAAAGGATTTTCCACCTGTCTTTTCTTGTTTCTCAACGCTTTGCCACTAAACCAACACAGTAAATCTAAATAGCTCATCAAAATTCTGTGTTTCTACAAAATGCAATAAGAGGAAGTATTTTACAGCAGGCTGCAACTTCATTGCCAGCAACAATACAGGGGGCAGAGAGAAAGATGGTGGCTGCTTCCTTTCCAGCATTATTTTACATTCAATCCATCATTTACTCTTCCCCCAAATCTTCCTAAACATACACACCAAAGGATTCTAGAAATATGGAGAAAGGTTTTTCAACCCAGTACTCGAAGTTGTTCCTGCTATGATCTAGGTTATATAATATATCACACAGGTATACATAAGAAAGCAGATAGAATAAATAAAAATATCCAATCAACTACAACAATTTTAAATAATAAATTTAAATCTGGAGCCAACTATCTCTTCTGAACCTCACCTCATAATAGATGCATACATTGCCTTGGGTTTTTCTTCAAACTGAGAAGAAATGAGCTATTTGTTTCTCTCTTTAGTTTGCAATATGGAAATCTGATAGAACCTCTTGTCCTACTGAATATGCAATTCAAGCCTTGAATAAGCGCTGATATAAATAGATATATACACACATTCATTGATCTAAGTCTAGGTTTACAAAGAACATGCTTTTCTGTCACATAGAGATACATCATCTCAAGCACATGACCTCAAGCACCAAATGCACCTGTCAGATGTGCAAATATCTAATAGGCATGATCAAAAGCAATCCCATAAGAACAGAAGGCAGGGAAAGCATATGTTTGACCACACCATCATAGCTCACAAGTTAACTATGAGCCAGAAGCCAGCAAGCCATATGCTTAAAATGAAGATTTAGTAAGTTTATAATTCAGTTTAAAAAGTGGAAAGAAAGCATTTGTTGTTGAGTCACTAAGCCATGTCTGATTCTTTGTGTCCCCATGGACTATACCACACCAGGCCCCTTGTGCTCCACTATTTCCTAAAGTTTGCCCAAATTCATGTTCATTGCATTGATGACACTATCTAACTATCTCTTCTTCTGCTGCCTTTTCCTTTGCCTTCCACCTTTCCCAACAGCAGGGTCATTTCCATTGAGTCCTCTCTTCTCATTTGATGGCCAAAGTATTTGAGCTTCAGCTTCAATATTTTGTCTTCCAAAGAACAGTCAAGGCTGATTTCTTTAGGATTACTGATATGACCTCCTTGTAGTCCAAGGGACACTAAAGGGTCTTCTCCAAAACAATTTGAAAACATCCATTCTTCAGTGCTCACCCTTCCTTATGGTCCAACCCCCACAGTCATAAATTACTACTAGAAAAACTATAGCTTTGACTATACAGACCTTTGTCAGCAAGATGTTGTCTCTGCTTTTTAGTATGATGTCTAGGTTTGCCATAGCTTTCCTCCCAAGGAGAAAACATCTTTTAATTTCCTGGCTGCAGTCACTGTATTATAAAGAATTAAATGTAATCAAGGGGGCACAGTGGTTAAAGATGCTGAGCTTATCAGTTGGAAAACTGTCACCCCAGGTTCGAGACCCAAGCACTATGTGATGGGGCAAGTTCTTGTTCCTGTGCTCCAGCTCCTGTCCACGTAGCAGTTTGGACCATTGAAGCTCTGGGCAGAGGCATCTATAGGAGATTTGGAGTTAAAAATATCAAGATGGCAGCTGCAATCATGAGATCCAAGGTCTGTCCCTTAAAATGGATGGAATGTTGATTGTATAGATGTAGCCACTATCTTGACTTTTGGACATCCTCTGTGGATGCTCAGATCCCTTATTTTGCTACTGAAGTGACTATATGTAATATTTATGAATAGATTGCTGAGCTGTAAACATTATCACAAATAGGATTGCTATGAAAAAGATTTTCAATTAAATCACTCCAATGAAGCAGAACCACAAATTGAAGCAATAACTGACTTTAGAGCAGTGAATCAGATAAGATTATTTCCAACCATTTTGTAGCCTTGGGAGAGATTTAAAATATCATTTGCTTGGGGGAATTTGTTTCTCTGTCTTCAGTTAGTTTGACTGCTGGTGACCACCTGGACACTGCCAGAGATTACTTGGCAGATTTTGACAATAGTTTGCCTTTGCCTTGTTCCAAGAACTGTGTGACACTAACTGGGCCCAAATCACCTAGTTTTCTTCATGTATACGATTTTTAACTCACTCTTTCCCAGTTTCCAGCCTGATGCTTTTAACCACTATGCCAACCTCGTCTATAAAGACAGTACATGTACAGAAAATGCCAGGGAAAAGTTAATAGTCTAATGCAGAGGTCT